TCTATGTTTGGAAGGCATGAAAACACTTAATCCCTATTTCCTTTAAAGAAGTTCCTATTGTTAATTTCTCGACTAATCGTCATTTTGTTTGACTCTGTAAATCAATCAACCGAGTGATTGATTAATCAATCATTTTGTTTGACTTGTTGTCAATTTGTTTGACTAATCGTCTTTTTTTTTTTAATATACATATAACAATCTAATGTAATTTGCTGTGCAATAGGTAAATCAATCGACTGACTTTGCTGAGCTGACAAATAATGAACCATGGTTGTCATCCACTAGGTTGGTAGTGAAACCGGACATGTTATTTGGGAAACGTGGAAAAAGTGGTTTGGTAGCTTTGAATTTGGATCTAGCTCAAGTTGCCGAGTTTGTGAAGATACACCTTGGTGTGCAGGTGATTATTCTTTCACACTTTCATGATTTGTGAATTCTATCTATCTCTGTTTTCATATAAAATGAGTGTTCTGTTTATGATAGGTTGAGATGGGTGGTTGCAAGGCCCCAATCACTACATTCATCGTTGAGCCATTTGTTCCCCATGATCAAGAGTACTACCTATCTATTGTCTCTGAAAGGCTTGGCTGCACCATAAGTTTTTCAGAGTGTGGTGGTATTGAAATTGAAGAGAACTGGGATAAAGTATGCACTGAATTTTCACTAATTGCTTCTCAATACTTAAATTGCATTTTGTTATATGGGATTCTGGCGGTAAGATTTATTTTTTTTCACATAGGTCAAGACTATTTTCCTTCCAACGGAAAAACCTTTTACACTTGAGGCGTGTGCTCCTTTAATAGCCACACTTCCTTTGGAGGTCAGTTTTAATTAGATTTGTTATGGAGCTTAATTTGATTTCTTCATTGTATCAAGATTTTATTCTCTTTTATTCTCTTTTATTATTGTTATTTTTGTACTTTCCTTATATAAGTAAAAGTTGTATTGTATTGATAACTAAGAATAAAAAAGAGAGAGGAGGATTTAATGTCCCGAGGAAGCCAATGAATTTACAGAAGCACACTCAAGTTTGCTTAGATATAAATTGAGAGTAGATTAGACAACTTTTTGCCATGGAAACTGATAAGGAGACCTCAAATAAGATCCCACACATTGCTCCATGCCTATTCTCCTCCTATTATACAATTCTTC